ATAAGTATATTTAATATTAAGAATGTTTTTTTTTACATAGATATTAAACTTTTCATTTTATTTGGTAATTAATAATACTATATGAATACAATATATATACTGTATAGTACAATATTATATAATTTATGATAACAATATTTTTCTAATCCGAAATTTAAATTGAAAAAAGTACAAACTAATTACCAATATTTTTTACATGACTATTCAACAAAAAATAAGTTTGTTTCAAATAAATTCATAGGAACAACAAAAACTTTTATAAAATAGCAAATATAAATACTATTATAGTATGGTATTAAAAATGTAAGCAACTATTTTATTATTATTTATGATGCAAGAACTGAAATAAATGTATAAAAAAAAAATCTCAAAATTATATATATATATATTAATTCAAATAAAGGTTGGTGCATTATTTAATAAAGAATAATAAATTATTTAATACAGGGAATTAAATACATTGTGAGTCAGAAATAGTAGTTATCAAAAATTAAAAACTAAAAACTTACACATATATTCATGTGATCTTTATTAGCAATTATCTACATTTAATATAAAACCGATAGAACATTAGTAAAAAACAAATTTATATTTTCTAAACCATTAAGACAATTTACACTAAAAAATTCTTAAACTAAAATTTAAAATAACTAAAAGGGTAATATAACATTGAAAATTAATGAAAATGCTGAAAAGATGTTCATCACAACAATTTGATGTACAAAAATAATGTAATATTTGCATCCCAAAAAAATATTTATCGAACACCTCACCCTCTGTATGAATAATTAAAATTGAAAAAGTATTTATGATTTACCTAAATATATACCATAATATAACACGATAACTATAATAACTCAATTACGAACACCTCACCCTCTGTATGAATAATTAAAATTGAAAAAGTATTTAAGATTTACCTAAATATATACCATAATATAACACGATAACTATAATAACTCAATTACGTATAATATCTGAAATTTTTATTTGTATTAATGACATTAAAAAAATATTACTATATTGTTAATTTACAATTGATATATTTGGTACAATATATTTAAAATAATAAGAAAATTCTTCTTTTTTTTTAATGTGGTAGTTTAAATAATACGACTTACATGATAGTTTAAGTGGTATCAACACAACGTTTGAAGAAACTTTCACGCTCCTAATCATACACGTACATTAGAGTGATCATAATAGTCATACATAATAAAAATTAACTAAATTTAAACACAATGATACTCTTATTAAATTAAACTATAAACATAAATTGTATATTTGTAAAATGCTTTTAATTGATCAACTTAGTAATATATAATGATTTTAAATCTAACCTTTTGGACTACCACAATATTAGTTACTTATCATATGCGTACAGGGCTCAATATTTGACTGAAGTCAATAATTTAATATTAAATTTAAATGAAAACAATTCGTTAAAAATGAATCATTGAAGAATTGGCAAATGCGTATAAAGTGCACGTCAAACAACATTATTCATCTTTATTGTTATATGCGCACTTATTAAATACAGCTCTAGGGCTCTAGCCGTTGAAAATTATCACATTGAATAAAATATACACATATTATGTTTTTATTTTTATTTTTTTGCATTTTAACGAATTTATATAACATACGTCAAATACACATACCAACACACTTATAACTCACGCACACTCACACACACAAGCACTAACGCACGTACATAGAACATGATATTCCAAAATTAACTTTAGTAGACAAATAAAACTTACGCCAAAGTGCTTATACAAATCAAACAATGTTATCAATTTGTCATTGGTATGGTATGAGTGTATGACATGTCATACTATATTCAACGAATCACATCACTGCAATCAACTAGCTACTCCCTTAAGTAACTTAAGAACTTCATAATACCATCCACTTATCGTTGAAATTCTCAAACTACTAATGAATTCTCTTGTTGGTAACTTTGATTAGTCTTATAAACTTTGATACCTACATAACAGAAGGTAACAAAAAAATTTAATTTATTTAATTATATTTTCATGAAACGGTAATTCAAAAAAAAAAAAAATGCCATTGAAAAATATTTTAATGGATTCCAATGCATTTGGTTAAACAATATCATACCAAATTTAACACGTTTTTCCATATTTTTTTTTTTTTAAATGACATTTATGTAATAGAATAACAAGGTAGGTTTTAATTTAACAATAAGCGTTTTCTTTATCTATTTTTTTTTATTTGTCTAAGAAAAATTAATAATCAAGAAATCATGATGTACACTTTTCAATTATTTTCGAAAACTAAAATAATTATATTCAAAATACACCGAATATTATACCATCCAAGACATCAATCGTATTGTTAATTAAACTGTTATGTCACTAATTTATACTGTTCATTAAAAAAAATATATAAAAAAAAACAATTAAACAACTCGTAGATGATTGAATGAGCATAACAAACTATATGAAGAAATTTAAATTAAACATTTTGTGTACCATATTTTATTTGAAAAGAATTACATTATAGGTCAGTTTTCAATCAGATCACAGATTGAAGTGCTTTATTATAATTTATATGAACTCATTCTTTTGATACAAAAACTATCATTGAATAAAAATATAGTACGTAGCATTTTAGTTACTTTTTTATTTTAAATCATTTTATAATTCTATTGGCAGTATAGTAGTTTATTGTGTTTGTTTTAGTTTTCTAATCATAAAACAATATGACAAAACAAACATTAACTGTTGTATATATAAGTTTTATAAAACATATCATCCACGTCGTTCAAATGTGTACAAAATAATTTACCTTAATCATTCATTTGTATTCCATAAAATTATTTCATGACAGTGTTCATAGTATTCGTTAATATAGATTTTAATTTTGATTCATAAGTTTATTTGATCATGAATAATTTACATATCATTGAATATTCCTTAGAGGTTTTCTTGAAAAGGCAACTAAGTGGCATATAAATATTATTAAATTGTACAAAATAAATGCAGATAGTGAAACAATACCCAAGGAAAATCAATTTAATACAATTAAAAGGCGTTAATACTAAAACGTAAATTATCTTCTTCTTCTTTTTTGGGGTTTGACGGTCATTAAAACCATCCTGTCATACATCCAATTCTTCAGCCTTCTCTATCCAAAGCTCGTGCTTTCCAATCCGGTTCTCCATTCAGTGCCAACACGTCTTTTTTATCATATCTTTCCACCTTAATCGAGGTCTCCCTAGTGGTCTTTTAACAACTGAATTTTAGTCCATAGTCATCCTTATTATGTTATTCTGGCTTCGTCTAGCATGTCCGGCCCACTGAAGTCTTCGGTTTCTAATTGTATTTACTATGTTTTCTTTTTTAAATAGGCTTTCCAATTCATTAGTTTTTCTTACTCTCCACTCACCCGTTTCTCTATCTTTCACTGGTCCAAAAATTTTCCTTAGAATTTTCTTTTCAAAAATCATAAGTTTTCTTTCCTCATTCTTTCTTTATGTCCAGGTCTCCGCCCCATAAGTGACCACTGGGCGTATTAAGGTTGTATATAACTGTTTTTTAATTTCTAACGACAAGGATCGTGATCCTAGTATTTTTGAAAGTCCATAAAAGCACTTATTTCCTGATACAATTCTTGACGCAACTTCTTTGTCAGTTTCATTTTTTTCTGTTACTATTGAACCTAGGTACTTGATTTGTTTGGCTCTACTGAACTAATACCTACCAACTTTCATGAGCGGGAACATGGCACTGCTATCTCTTCTTCCCATGACCATATATTTGGTTTTACCTTCATTTACCTGTAGTCCTACTTTCTTAGACATTTCTTCTCATCGGTTAATAAAGTAAATTATATTTTAATGTAAAAATTGTCATCGTTCGTTTAGAGTGCATTTTCGTTGTTGCAATAATTTTATATACATTTTTTTTTTTTTTTTTTGGTACGAAATACATTTGATAAATCAAAAGAATTGTTTTTAATTCGACTAAAGTTTTACTGAGTATTTTTATATTGCCATATTCTTATGAATACCGGAAGTACTACCAAAAATCGCACCAATTAATTATGAAGAATATTTAACACTGTAAAATGTAAAACTTGATGGATAAATAATTCAAAAAACTCTTCAAACCATAATGAAACTGATGTAATGCGATCTGAAGCTATACTTTTTGATCATTTAAATCTTGTTAACACACACACATACTCCGAGCTCGTGAATCCTTAGGGGAAACAAATGAATTGTTTTGAAACGAATTTACCCGGCGGTCGGAAAGAGTCCATTGTCTTTTATCGATTTTTCACTACACTTATTTTTTTCCCCGTACCATAATACCGTTGAAAAATATGCTCTAAAAATAGCCATAACGCTGTACAAATAAAACGTATAATATTTATTGAGAAAAAAAAACGTTACAGTTACACATAATCGTGTGAAATAAAATATAATTATAAATAATTATTCATTTATGGCAATAGTTCAGCAACATTATTAGCTCTAAACCAATGTGTAGTCGAGAAATAAAAAAAAATGTAAACGTAGGCCGTCGCCGAAACGCATGTTCTGTATGCAACGTAATATTCATCTTGTTTTTCGTTTCTCTCCGAAATCGCGTCCTGTTCTCACTGCTGGACGTTGTCAGTGGCCAATCGCTTGCCGATGTTGGCCATCCGGTTGGCTCTGTCGATCAGCACAGTGGTCACGTGGTCCTTGAATTTGGGATACCTGTCCATGACCCGGGCGAACGCGGTGGCCGACAGCGAGAACAGGTTGCAGTACGTCTCGGCTCGCACGCTGACGGGACGTCGAGCCCCGGACGCCCACAGACACGTTTCGCCGAAGTAACAACCGTCGCTCAACGTGGCCACCACCTCTTGGCCGTTGACCACCAGCACCTCGACGATGCCTTCGTGTATGAAGTACATCTTCGTGGCCGCCGTCCCTTCGCGCATGATCGTGTCCCCTGCAACATACAACCACGCGTTACCGACTGTGACTATGGCCGAAAGTCAAAATATGTTCCGCGCTGCGAGAGCCTAACACGAACGAACGCGAAACCAGTGAAATCCGTGGAGTCGGTAACCAATACGCCACCATAATTCCAACACCTAACAACAATACAAACATTTTCAATGCGAAATATGTTACCCTTTAAATTCTGAAACCTCGAACATGGCTATGGGTCGTACGTCTTGATATGACTACGGATTCGCCGTATAAGGTTAACTTTTGGTCGCCTTCAAATTCAGTTTGATTTAAACATTGTGTTATGTTCTTATCATTAAATATTTAAATAATATTTTTATCTAGCGAAAATAAGATTTATTCAATTAGCTGTTTTTAGTATTATTATTTATAACTATTAAAAATTTCATCGATTACGGATCTCTAATTTTGTATTGAGGTAAAATATACCACCTGATAAAATTGGAATATATAAAAATGTAAAAATTATTCATGGGAAATTTTAATTAAATTTTAGATTTAGTAAAACCCAACAGCGTTAAAAAATAAAACAAAAACGTCATGAAGAAATCAGAACTCGGTCTGACGAAAAAGCAATAGAACGCACGATATTATTATGATTAAAATGTAATTTTGTCGTTAGGCGACCTCGCGAAATTATGTTTTCCACCGTCTCGATTGTCATGATAGTCAAGTGTATATGAACTATAAAAGCAACTACCCAGGTAATTTGTCACATGTATAATTAATACATAGTTCGTATAAATGTGCATAAAATATGTTTTGAACACGCAAATCCTTTGGCGTATTACCCGCCCACGTAGTTCTCATAAATTGTATGTTATCAACTTCAAAACTTTTGGTTGAGATTACAAATTCTGAATCAAACTAATCTTTTACAACTCAGCTGTTTTAATGTAATATAATATACTTAAAAAGTTTCGAAATTGAGTTCACAATGCCATGCTTAATATCAATGTTTATTACTTCATGTGCAAAACCATACTCACACTCACACACATATATATACACCTACACACCAGTATTCATGTACTAAATTACTTTGTTAAATATCAGTGAAAATTATAAGCCTAATATTATTTTACTCTTTTAACTCGAATTAGAAAACACAAAAAATGTTCCAACACAACGAATAATAACTCAAATCAAAATTAATTACCATTCATTTTTACTCGCATAATTAAATTTAAATTAAACAGATAATTGCATATTACACATGCATGAAACGTCGTGTCAACGGCAGTTTTCTGATAATTCGTAATTTTTATGCGTTTTAATATTTACATAAAACAAAGTTATTACAATTACAACTACTAATTTATACTAAACAAAGTACACTTTATGACTAATATAAATGACTGACTACATCCGAATTTTAAATTTTGAATAAACAAATTACAAATGCATGCTGTATAATTATAATGTTATTTCTGTTTAATTTTAATTGCTAATTATTTAATGTAATACATTTAAAATAAATTTTACATACATATAATGTTTATAATGACGATTGATGTTTGACAAAGCTGGGCAAGTTAATGATTTTTTTTTAACTCAAGTTAAGTTATTTAAGTTCTTATTCAATCAAGTTAACAATTAAGTTGATTCACATGAGAATTACATCAATTAAGATAAAAATTAAGTTTAAAAATATCGTGAACTTAACTTAACTTCAATCAAAAAGTTAAGTTAATAAAAAAAAAAAATTTAAATTAAGCGCTGATGTAAGTGTGTAAGTGTTATACATTAACAATTTATAACTAATCTTATTTAACATTAACGAAAATGAAAATGCAGAAACATCTTATTACTCTAATTAGAATAGAAAAGTATATATTTCTTCATTGGGATTGTTTTTAAGCACTCAAATGCCAAATTTATTGTGATTGTGATGTTTCGTTTTTTTTTATTCATTTTACATACAATCTACATATGATAAATATAATTTTAAAAAAGTAATTTTTTTAATGTTCAATTACAGTATAAAAATTAAAAATAATTACTGCAACTGAAAATGTAACTATAAAACTATACAGGCAATAAATGTATACAGTTGATACAAAACATCAAAATAAATATATAATATTATTTAATTTTATTAAAATCTAAATAAATAAAACAATACAAAGGACAGGTTAATCAAAATATCTATTGAATCCCAATAAAATAGTCATGTCAAAATGTTGATTAGCTATTAAATTTCTTCTCTCATTCAAAAATATTTAATAATATCATTAATTATGGAATAATTCTAATAATAATAGAGCACAATTATTATTAAGAATTATGTAGTCAATGATAATATGTACCTATTTTTTGTAATATAGATTTACGGCCACTTTTCATGACAATGATAATGTAATTCATGGGTGGCATAGCTAATTTTACTCTAATTTTTCTCATAAGACGGTTGAATACATTTCCCGAGACCATTGGCACCCCAATTAATAATTAATACCGAGATAAATATTATGATTTCGTCTAAAAAATTTTTCGAAATTTTTATTTTTATATTTTTCTAAATTCGATGAACTTGTTATCGAATGCAGTATTTAACAAAAATATTTTTTTTGTCTTGAAAATTAAAGTAAACTTAATTTGGATAAATGAAAAAATAATATGTTAACTTCAAGTTAATTTGGAAGGAAATGAGTTATGTTAATAAGTTAAATTAACTTAACTTTTAACTTATTAACTCGTTTATCCCCAAGCTTGATATTTGTTAAATTAGTTAAACAAATCTATTGATAAAAAACTTACAAATAGTTTGTAGATATTTAAATATCAGATAGTATTATAGATATATAGGTAAATTATATGCAAATTTTAAAAAATAAATATTCTGGTTAGCAAACGTATTTAATTCAAAATTTAAGTGTAACATATCGTAAAATTAGTTTCTAGTGTATATAGTATTTTATAATATTACAACCCACTAAAGATTTTCGTATAAACCATGATGTATTAAATTTTATTTAATTTTAGATTTTAATTATACACCAGATTCAACTAAAAAAAACGTATGACTGACCACATAGTCATTAACATATTATTATTTGCAAACGATTATAATTAATTTTTGTCAGCACAATGCTAACTGAAAAACAGGTTCAAAATATCAGAACTATATACAAAACAATTTAAAATATTGCCCTAAAAATATTGTGACTAAATTGACATGCACTATTGATAAGTGCCCATCATATTAATGGTATTATATATTTATAAAATATTTAAAATTATTTAAATAAATTTTAAACGATTTAAATAAATGTAGAAAATAATTTAAAATAGCAGTTTTTCACAATTCGCCTCGACTATAATCATAAAACAACTACATTTTAATTATTTCATAGCAACCGAATAATTGAGCTCATTAATTACTTTTACACATTATAGATCTCGTTTCTACGAAATAGCAAAGTATATTTTTTAGACTTAAAATAATAATAATCGACGATCTCATACAAAACTCAAATATTTCAACTAAAATACCATAATCTCATTACTTTATCAATAAATATTCTAACTATTCGAGTCTCAAAGCACGTACAACTTTCTCGCAAGAAGTTTGAAAACTAAATCTCACCATGGCGATCCCTTCCTTTTCTTTCTATATTACTGTATAATGAATATAACAGCAGTAGTTTGACAATAAAACGATATTTCAACCGCTCTTCAATATTCTGACAAATATTTCTAACACAAATTTAACCACATTAGCTGCTCGTGCCGATGACACTGCGATATTGGCTTTTAACGATGTTCTAACATCTACTCAATTTTTTTATCCTGCACCTAATTGATACACGGTCGTTAAACTGCAGATAAAAATAAACGTTAATAAATAGTTAACGATAACGTATTTTATATTATACGGAAAAATCCTTTTTAACAGCTGAGGAAAATACCCCAATATCTTCACGCATTAAATACTTAGATATAAGTTTTTATTAAACATTAACTTGCAATCCTCGCTCAAAAATATGTTGAACAGTCGATTACTTAAACTTAAATCCATTGTGTAGTCAAACTTCCTCACAAAGACCATTATATTATCATTGTTAAAGCTTTATTTGGCATACTTTGTTCACATATTGTGTTATTCTTAAAAATTATAATATAATTTCATTCTTACTATTCAAACTTTTTGTTCCATAATGTTTTATTGTGTCATTAAAACTATTTCTTGATACAAACCAAACATTTAATATCTTATTGATCAAAAATTAAAAGAATTTAATGAAATATAAAAGAAAACAAACATTTACATGAAAAACACTAATCACAACATTTTAGTATTCCTGAAATATCAGTTTCCATCAAAAATACCCTACTAACTACAGCATTTATTTGTACCCATAATCACACACACATACACACACCATAATATTGTTTTGATAAAATTAGTTTTGGTATTTCTGTTATGGTTCCTTCTAATTTTTTTTTATTGAGTACCTCCTAATATTTTTGGATTGTAATTATTCTTATGAATAAAAAAAGTTTAAAAACTACTTTGACGTGTTTTTCAGTTTCAAGTTAACGTCCCTTTTAAAGTCTTCACATAGGAGTACGTAATATGAGTAAAGAAAATATAACCTAACTGACCGCTGTCACAATGAATGCATCATGAGATTAGGTTACATCGAGTTTTCCTGAGAGAATTCATCTATTTACTACCAGATGGGTTTGTTAAGTTATAGAATTATATTATAAAGCTTTTATATAAATTTGACAAACCACGTACATTAAATCCATATTTTTTGGGTTTTTTACGGTATAGTCAAAAAATAGCAATGACTTATCAGCAATTAAAGTACAATTATTAGGCAATTTTATTTTTATGTTTTTGATAAAAACTAATTTTAAACCCAAATTTTCCGAGATATTCTATTCTAATGAATTCATTATTAATTATTAATTATTAATAATTAGCTTTTCAACTTAATTCCAATTCAATTGTCATTATTTTTTTCATTATTTTCAATTTTTAAACAAAATGATTCAGTAAATATAAATATTATATTATGTAAAATAAAAATCCAAAGATTAAGGAATTATTTATTTGTATTGCATTAGACAATTTAAAAGTGTTAAATACAATACCGTTAACGTAAATCAAAGACTATTAAATTCAAAATCTGAAATGGATTTTTTTTTTTTCGAAAATTTTAGCTGTTTTTACTTGTCAAAGAAGAATATTGATAGCGTGACCGATAAACATTATCGTTTAAAGAAGAAAAGAAATCGAATCCCAAGGTAGCTTTATTTTAGGCCTGTCCTCGTGATATATCGTACTGCTATTTTTAAAGCAAA